GTCTTTCCCCTTTTTTCTTCTCTCCCCCTCTCCCCTCACCTATTAGGTCTCTATTTATATGCAGGGCTAATTATCTAGCTCCCATATGCCCCTACTACACTATCTAGTCGAGAGACAGGCGAAATACTTTTGCGTCGATCTCCCGACTCTCTAGCATACATTTCCCACAATGCCCAGTTCCGATCACGTGATCGCGTCTAGCCGCGATCACGTGTTTCATTATATATTACTATTTTCAATAATGCTCGTTTTTCTATTTAAAGCACACAGATATTTTCATACCCCTTCTTTTAAGGTTTTTATATCATCAATTTCAACTTCTGTATATATACTAATTGCGATTATATTTTTTTCACTGACATCATCTCTCCTAGTGTACTACATTATAAATAATGCTTGTTTTACTATTTGAAACTGATAATTATCTTAATATTGCATTATATAATGCTTTTACATTTCAATTTCTTACTTTTGAATTGTTTTTAAATTATGCATATTGTAAGTGTGACGTCATTTTGGTGCCAAAATTCAAATGCCTATCTGTATTTTTTAGCTTATAAAAGCAGTTTGTGTACCAGGTTTTTCTCTCTTTTAAATGCCATTTGATAAAGCCCTGTGTGGTGAAACGCGTTTTGGCTATTACAAAATTTGTTATATATATTGATAAGTTATATTTTAATAAAGGAATATTGGCCCTTATTTTTTGCCTATATACTTTTAATTCCTTTTATTCTATATTTTTAATTTGAATTACCTGGTCATCAATTTGGATTGAAGTACGTCAACTTCCAAGAATCCTAAGGTGGGGATTGTACCACCTGCGCCATCATACTGAGCAGTATTTCCTGCTCATGTACATGTGAGTATTTTACTTATTTTATTTGTTTTTACAAACATCAGTGAGCACTATATACGTCTCTCATTTTTTATATACCGAGGAATTGTCCAGGACCCCATCACCTATATCCTACCAGTGGGGGATTGACGCCACTGAACGCTAAGAACACTTTAGCAAAGTTTTTTTGCTCACGCCAAGGTGAGTTTTTTACTTACTTATAGACCTATACCTGGAAACTATATCGACATTCTACACTATTGGAGTTTTTCTTCCTCTCTTTTTTTTTTTTATGTATCTACGTATTGACAAGCATTCTAAGACATCCTCAACATAAGAAGACTCGGATATCCATTTGGACTGTATACTCTCCTAGAACTACACAGGTTTATTTATATCTGGGACTTTTTTATTACTTTTATTTATTTCATTTATTTTACTTCCTTGTCCCCTTAGCGCGACCTATACACCTTTTTCTGTTTGTCCTATTCCATGTGAGGTTTTTTGAGGGACCTCATTCCTATAGGTTGCTGCTGTTACGTTTTGTTTTAGTTTCTTTTAGATTGTTTAGCGCTGAACCATTACCTTTTTTTTTTTTTTCGAACATGTAGGAACCCTGCATAAGGTCTAAATTCAAGGGCAATCACTCAACTATCCAATTGCATACAACAAGAAAAATAAATTAGAGGAGCGGGGAAGGGAGGGATATGAAAGGAAAGGAGAGGCAGTGGAAATAGAGAGTTAGGACTTCAGGTAACATCTTTATCTTGAAAAATAGGTAAGTGATCCTGGGCTAGAATAGCAACAGGAGCGCTTAGAGGAAAGTTCTGCAAAAAATATGCTAATATGAAATAATATCTATAAAATAGCTTTATTGGAGAGGGTCTACTCTAAAGTATGATCCCTAATAAAAGAGAAAGAAAAAATAGCAAATGAAACTTAATACACCATAACCACTAAAACGTAATAATATACATAAGGGGTGATGGACTCTAAATCTAGAAAGAAAGCTGAAAAGAAAATGTCTATAACCACAATACTTATATCGAGCAGCAAAGACCCCTAAAAACCAATCCGGATATAAGAGTATTATGACTCTTATCCTTGTGGTCAAAAAAAGGGAGAGAGAGAGAGAGAGAGAGAGAGAGAGAGACTAGAGTACAGAATATGTCCGTATCTGTCTGATTGCCAGCTGGAATATCAAATAATGAAATAATCTCAATAGAATATTAACTCAAATGTAGAAACAGAAACAAAGTATCTCCTCTGGGAACCATTCCATTAGAGCAAGGTCCCACATCAATTCCCATGGCTTGAACAGTACCACTGTTGCTATGCTTCTTATGATAAATTGTAAGTAAGAAAATCACACTTTTGCCCTTCTATAAAGCAGAACTGTAACATTGCAGGATTTTTTATTTTATGTTTCAATATCCCCTATATTTAACCAACATGTATTTGTGACCACCACTTCTTTACTATGTACCTGGGTGCCTCGGTTTTAGCTCTCTGTCATTTATTCTAACCTCCATATTCAGCACTAGTGATGTCGCGAACCGTTCGCGAACTTGCCGCGAACTGTTCGCCGCGGTTCGCCACGAACCGTTCGCGGCGAACTACGGTCAGCTGACACATCCCTGCCAATCTCCGGCAGACCCTGACTGCCATTCTGGGGTCAAGAAGGAATTTTCTTTCCTAGTTTGTTGCAAAATTGTGCTTCAAACTGGGTTTTTTTGCCTTCTTTTGGATCAACAGCAAAAAACAATTGTGAGGTAGGCTGAACTTGATGGACGCAAGTCTCTTTTCAGCTATGTAACTATGTAACTATGTAACCCTCCCTCCCAGACCCTCCCACCTCCTGGACAGCATCCATGTAGAACGGTTCGCAACATCACTATTCAGCACCAGGCTTGGTTCACCTCTTGACAAAAAATATACATATAAATAAAATACAATGCATCTATTTTCAGGTTTAACTGTTAATTTTCAATATTGGTCTGTTTTCCTGCTTTTTTTTGCATCTTACTTGAGAGCCACTTTAAAGAAGCTAGATGGATGGATAGATGTACAAAAAGCTGGATGGCTGGATGGCTGGATGGCTGGATGGCTAACTTGCTGACTGGATGCATGCATGGATGGATGGGCAGATGGACAAATTGATGACAAGGACAATTTATTTATCTCTGGCTCCTCTCCCAGCATATAATTAAACCGAAAGGGATGAATTTAACACATTAGCTTTAGATAGAATCAGCTGTCTGAGAGTGTACCGTTCATCAATCTATGGTAAACCAGGCCAATCTTTCTCTGTATTTTCCTAAAGGTTATGTAACCCTAGCCCTAACCCTCTGTATTAAGAAAAAAATAATACTATGTTAATATATCCACTGAAGTAGTTCAGTCTGTTTGACAAGATTCAGCACAGACTTTAGCATAACATAACATAACAACTGACAATAGATGATAAATTTGAAGTACTTATTTAAATTCAGCTGTCAACTTTTGAATTGCATGTTGATGTCAAAGAAGCACACTAGGCATGAGTCCAGTTTAGTATCTAGAAAATATTGTAAGAGGTATAGGCAGATGTGGGAGTTATTTCTGAGTGTATAAATTGTAAAATTCAGCAACAGAATCTGGATATGACGTACAATTTCAATTCAGCTGAACATTTGGAGATTAGTGCTGCAAATTCCCTCTCAGAAATTTAGATATTTGTTATATATTACATAGTTACATACACGGAACAAAATTATAAAAGCAAAACTTTTGTTTTTGCACCCATTTTTCATTAACCCCTTCAGGACGGAGTCAATAGTGCACGTTCTGATCAAAACAAAATGTAAACAAAAACTGGAATTTGCGCTATATGTCTGTTCAACCATAATTCACCGCTGTCACATTAAGTGCACCCACACTTATTATATATCATTTTGTTCAGGAGAAACAGGGCTTTAATTTATCATGAACTATTTATATATGGAACATAATTTATTATGAATAAAATTTAAAAAAATGTGATAAAATAAGATTTTGTTTTTACTTTTTTATTTCCGTCTGACATTTTAGCTGTGAATGTCATAATACTGTTAGGTTTACTGGAAAAAAATGAACATATTTGTAATCAACGATGTCTCACGAATACAACAGCACCCCCCATTAACAGGTTTTATGGTGTTTTGGAAAGTTACATGGTCAAATATAGAACGTTCCATTTTTAAATTGAAATTTGCCAGATTAGTAATGTTACTTTTGAGACGGTGTGGTAGCCCAGGAATGGGAATTATCCCCATAATGGCATACCATTTGAAAAAGTAGACAACCCAAGGTATTGAAAGTGGGGTATCTTTAGTCTTTTTTAGTAGCCACTTAGTCACAAACACTGGCCAAAGTTAGCGTTCATATTTGTTTTTGTGTGAAAAAAGCAAAAAACTAATAGTTGGCCAGTGTTTGTGACTAAGTGGCTACTAAGAAAGACTGGACATACCCCACTTGCAATACCTTGGGTTGTCTACTTTTGCAAATGGTATGCCATCATGGGGGTAATTCTCATTCATGGGCTACCATACGCTCTCAAAGGCAACATAACCAATCTGGCAAATTTCAAAAAAATGAAATGCAAGCCTTATATGTGACTTTCTAACTTTCCAAAACACCATAAAACCTGTACATGGGGGGTACTGTTATTCTTGGGAGACTTCACTAAACACAAATATTAGTGTTTTAAAACAGTAAAACATATTACAACAATAATATAGTCCATAAAAGTGCTGTTCGTTTGTAAACAATGCAAAAAACTTAACTTTTACTTAAAATATCATCGTTGTAATACAATTTACCAGTTTGAAACACTAATATTTGAGTTCAGCAAAGTCTTCTGAGTAAAACAGTACCCCCTATGTACAGGTTTTATGGTGTCTTGGAGAGTTACAGGGTCAAATATAGTGCTTGTGAATTAAATCCTCTGCACTTTCTCCCTGTGTTGTCAGGCATGTCAATCAAATTTTAATTAATCAAATCACATAATTATGTTAAAAGATTACTTAAATATACATGTAGAATTTTAATATATATGCATTTATAGGTATTTAAATTCTACGTGTATACTAATGTAATCTTTTATGTAATTATATATATTTATCTACATATATATATATATATATGACTGCAGTCCAGCTATAATGAGATTCCAGGAATGTAGAATGCTGGGCTGAAATTTTGTTATACTATTGAATTTTACAAATGCGAGAAAACAAATTAACACTGTCTGCTGAGTCCATATCAAATATACTTTTTTTCCCCCCAATAGACACTTTCGTGGCCATTTCTTTTCAGTTGGTGCTTAATGGCATGAAAACTGAACCCAAATCTGCCATAGAATTCTACTTTAGAACATGTGGTACACCTTACCGTGAGCATATGTTTAGCAGGCCATATGCACAGTGTGTCTTAAAAGGTTAAAGGGACACTGTAGACACACAGACCACTGCATCTCAATGAAGTGGTATGGAAGCCATGTCCCTGTAGTTTTGTCCCTTCAGAACAGCAGCTTTTACATTGCAGAGTTTAAATGCCACTAGTGGCTGCCACTCAGACAAAATAGCAGAGTAAAACTCTATTTAATTCAGATGGTCTCGTCTAAACTATCTGGTACAGTGCTGCATTTGCCACACATGCACACTAGCCTTCTGATGCTTACCTGTGGGAAAGCACTGGATTGGTGAGATCATCGATCTCAATGATCTCAGCCAAGGAGACGGGGCCTACTGCAGAGTGCTGAGTAGCATGGAAGAAAAGGCATCTAAAAGAAGAAAAAAAAAAAAATATAAATATATATTTAAAAGAAGAAAAACTACCACAACAAGAGGACATAGTCTTAAATTAGAGGGACAAAGGTTTAAAAATAGTATCAGGAAGTATTACTTTACTAAGAGGGTAGTGGATGCATGAAATAGCCTTCCACCTGAATATATATGTATATATATATATTAATAACAAAATACAGTTAGAATGAAATTACATATGAATATATAATTTATATGAAATTTTGTTTCAATATTTTATTTATTTATTTTATTTTATTTATTTATTATTGTAATTATACGTATGTATATAATATATGTCTATATATCTACTATATATAAATAATAGATATATATATTATATATATATGTAATGTCATATTCTAAGTGTATTTTAATACTAATATATGTACTTATATTAGTATTAAAATACACTTTGTATGACGTTACTTATATATATAATATGTATATATATTATATATCTAATATATATACATATATTATATATATAAATACATTTCTATTTTATTTTAAAACATGTTTAATTATTTTTTTTTATTCTTCCCACCAGCAGGGGGACTGTCTGACATCTAAGACAGTCCCCCTGCTGGCAGATCCACAGCCAGCTATAGGGGGCCATGTGATCGCTCTTTGAAAGCGATCACATGGCCCCCGGGGACTTCTTTTGCCGGGGGAGGTCTGCCTGGGCTGTCAGTCCTCCCGAAGTGGAGCGCCGGTAAGGTGAGTATACCGGGCGCTCCAGGGGCTTCAGCCATTACGGCGTTCTATGCCGCCACAACAGCTTTAAAGCCCATTTAATGCGCGGCGGCACCGAACGCCGCAACGGCGTTAAGGGGTTAACTGACCTCAAAGCTCTAAGACTTTTTCTATGTACACAAAAGGCCTATTTCTCTCAAATTTTGTTAACAAATCTCTCTAAATCTGTGTTAGTGAGCACTTCTCCTTTGCCGAGATAATCCATCCACCTCACAGGTGTGGCATATTAAGATGCTGATTAGACAGCATGAGTATTGCACAGGTGTGCCTTAGGCTGGCCACAATAAAAGGCCTCTCTAAAATATGCAGTTTTATCGCACAGCACAATGCCACAGATGTAGCAAGTTTTGAGGGAGCGTGCAATTGGCATGCTGACTGCAGGAATGTCCAACAGAGCTTTGGCAGTACATCCAACCAGCCTCAGACCATGTGTAACCACACCAGACCAGGACCTCCACATCCAGTATCTTCACCTCCAAGATCGTCTAAGACCAGCCACCCAGACAGCTGCTACAACAATCAGTTTTAATAACCAAAGAATTTCTGCACAAACTGTCAGAAACCATCTCAGGGAAGCTCATCTGCATGCTCGTAGCCCTTATTGGGGTCTTGACCTGATTGCAGTCTGTTATTGTAACTGACTTGAGTGGGCAAATGCTCACATTCTATAGTGTCTGGCACTTTGGAGAGGTGTTCTCTTCACGGATGAATCCCGGTTTTTACTATACAGGGCAGATGGCAGACAGTGTGTATGGCGTCGTGTGGGTGAGAGCTTTGCTGATGTCAACGTTGTGGATCAAGTGGCCCATGGTGGCGGTGGAAATATGATATGGGCAGGCGTATGTTACGGACAATGAACATGGGTGCATTTTATTGATGGCATTTTGAATGCACAGAGGTACCGTGATGAGATCCTGAGGCCCAATGTTGTGCCATTCATCCATGACCATCATCTCATGTTGCAGCATGATAATGCATGGCCCCATGTTGCAAGGATCTGTACACAATTCCTGGAAGCTGAAAACATCCCAGTTCTTGCATGGCCAGCATACTCACCGGACATGTCATCCATTGAGCATGTTTGGGATGCTCTGGATTGGTGTATATGACAGCATGTTCCTGATCTAGTCAATATCCAGCAACTTTGCGCAGCCTTTGAAGAGGTGTGGACCAACATTTCACATGCTATAATCAACAACCTGATCAACTCTATGCGAAGCAGATGTGTTGCACCATGTGAGGCAACTGGTGGTCAAACCAGATACTGACTGTTTTTTGGACTCCCATGGATCCCCCCAATACAGTAAAACTGTACATTTTAGAGTGGTCTTTTATTGTGGCCAGCCTAAGACACACCTGTGCAATAATCATGCTGTCTAATCAGCATCTTGATATGCTATACCTGTAAGGTGGATGGATTATCTTGGCAAAGGAGAAGTGCTCACTTCCACAGATTTAAACAGATTTGTGAACAGTATTTGAGAGAAAAATGCCTTTTGTGTACATAGAAAAAGTCTTAGATCTTTGAGTTCAGCTCATGAAAAATGGTGGCAAAAACAAAAGTGTTGCGTTTATAATTTTGTTCAGTGGAGTTACATAGCTGAAAATCAACATGCGTCCATCAAGTTCAGCCTCTCACATTTGTTTTTGCTGTTGTTCCAAAATAAGGCAAAAAACTCAGTTTGAAGAGTTTTCCAATCATGCAATAAACTAGGGAAAAAATCCTTCTTGACCCCAGAATGGCAGTCAGACCTCTCCTTAGATCAAGAACTAAAAATAATATCCTTGAATTTTATGCTTTTGTAAGTTTTCATTGCTTTTTAAACATCTGTACAGACTGATGAAATCACCTCTTCAGGCAAGATAATTCCCCATCCTTATTGTTCTTACTGTACAGGAACACAAACTGTCAGTTTGGGGGCTGATTCAGGAATTTTTAACTATGCAAGAAACAGCTATCTCTTACCAGGGCTAGTGAGTTATACTCTAAAGTGCCTAAACAGTAAAAGCAGCTCAACACAAAAAGTGGAATACCCTTTATCCACAGTACAATACAGATATAAAAGAGAATGGTATAGGCTATATACCAACAAGTGGGCGCTATTACAATATGAATAATAAGGGGGTATACTCCTTCTTCGATACAGTGACAATCTGGAAGTGTATGCTTGAATATGCATACAAAAGGAAATAAAAGGAAAAATATATAGTGCAGATGGTTTTCAAATGAAGATGAGTGATAATAGAAAGTAACTTAAACCACTCACATGGACTGGAGCCTATATGGTATTGGCTCCATAAGCAAATCCTTTATGCTTTTTGGGCAGCAACACACCCCTTGTCCCGAACAATATTCCTCCAGGGATATAGAACAAGAAAGAGACAAACCAGCTGTATAGCATTGTATGAAAACATAAATATAGTATTGGTGGTAATGGTTGTGCTCACCTTTAACAGAGCCCTGGATTCCCGGCTCTGAGGTTGATTGACAGTGTGCTACTTTTGTTGGGATAGCACTCCCCAAATGTGGTTCCTGATGGCTAGGAAGGACTTTTTGGACTAATAAGTGTAAGATATTAAAAATAATTTATTGGTAATAATTTAAAACAGAATTAGTACTTCATCTATAAAATAAAAAAAGTCCAAATGTAAAGTCCAAATTTCAGCTAAACGCGTTTCACTCTATGAGCTTCCTACTTCCTACTTACTTAATCCACCAATCAGAGTGTTATGAGTCAAATTACACAGCGTGGGAAAATTCCAAAGAACTTTCCCACGCTGTGTAATTTGACTCATAACACTCTGATTGGTGGATTTCAAACCAACCTTACCTGTCAGTCTCTTCATTTACCTGTCAGAGCACTCTTATTGGATGGCTTAAACCCACCAATCAGAGTGTTCTGTGTCTAATTAAGCCTTCCCCCGCCCTGCAGAGCTCAGTCTGCGTGGAATTTTTTTTTTGCACTCGTTTTTTTTTTTTTTTTTATTGCGTCTGTTATTATGGTTTTTTATTTGGCCTTTTTTTGGGCTGAAAAAAGAAGATTTTAGAAGAAAACATTGAATGGTAAGCTTTATTTTTTTACAGGTACTTAGTTAAAGGTCCCCCCCCTCATTATTTTTAGGGTGAGGGGGGGAGGTAGGGAAATATTTTTTTTTGGGGTGGGGAAGGGGTGACTAGGGGCTTGGGGACCCCTAGTCACCTAGGGGGGGGGACTTTTTTTTTTAGGGCCCCCATCCGCCGCTCAGGGGTGGGGGCCTATTGGTATTTAGGGCCCCCACCTGCTGCTCAAGGGTGGGGGCCAGGGGGAGGACATTAGGTCCCCCCTTATTAGTATTTAGGGCCCCCACCCACCGATCAGCGGTGGGGACTGGGGGGAGGACCTTAGGTTCCCCCCTATAAGTATTTAGGGCCCCACCCGCCGCTCACGGGTGGGGGACAGGGTGGAGGACATTATGTCCCCCCCCTTTTACTATTTAGGGCCCCCACCCTTGGGAATTAGGGAGTTACCTATCACCATGTTCCAACTGAGTCTGCAGAGGTATCAGGTGTAGCCATAACTCAAGACTCAACCATGTAGGGTGAAACCATTACAATAAAAAGCATTTGAAAACAATTCAACCAGTCTACCACCAGCATCAACTTTTAGAATATGTCTTGATATTTTAAAGAAAAAAATTTAGTTTGAAGGCACTTTGTGTCTATGAAGGTGGCAGGCAGAGCTACAATGTAAGATTTAGCTAAGTAGGGCAAACACACTATAAATGAAAAAAATGAACAGGAACAGCTGCAGCAGCAGTGACAGCATTAAGAGGAATACATTTTGAATGTGTATTGATTTATTTATTTTAACAAGGGGAAGGCAAGACCCA